TTAGTTTTGTTTTCCAGGATCTGGCTGACCGGAAACTGAGTAATAAAGACACCCCAAGCATGTAATTGGGAAGACCAGGTCCTTTGTTGTGCAGGTGCTGCTGCTGTGTGAGGTGTCCCTACAGAATCACAGGGTCATTAAGGCTTGAAAAGGCCTTTAGAGATCATCGAGCCCAACCTTTAACTGAGCACTGCCAGGTCCACCTCTAAACCATGGCCCTAAACAGAAAATGTTCCTCATATGCCATCTAAGCCTCTCTTGGGACAAGCAAAAAACATTATCTCACTTAATACAGTAAGTTCTTCTTTGCTGTCTGCTTCTGTTTCAGGCTACACCTTGCTCAGTTCTTTATTGCTGCTAAACCTCACAGCTGAACTAAACACAGCTGAACAGGGGTACCCTCACCATGCCCATGTGCCTTGAATGTTGACACAGAATTCTGTTTTATCCAGGGTTTGTTTGTCAGTGCTACTTTCTCGGTTTTGCTCATCATTTGAATATCCATGGCCTGATTTTCAGAGGCATTGAATTCCAAGATGAATGGAATCTGCAAATATGCAGCACCTCAGAAAAATCAGAGTACCACTAAACAGGTAGATCAGGCTGCCCAACCAAATTCTAGAGTGAGGAGAAAAGTAGACATGTTAAGAATCAGGAGATTTATATATATAAACATTGAAGCCAGTGGTCCACTTCATTTGGCTTAAGATACTGGAATTGCTGGGTTCAGTTCTCCAAAGACAGTTACTATCCTCAGCTCCTATTAATACCCCGAAGACTGCAGATGACTGAAGATAGTTGCTGTTATAAACTGTTGCCAAAGTTAGTTTGCAATGGAGAGACAACTGTCTGCAGCAGACACTTACGTGAAATAGAAATCTGGTTGGACTGCAGAGTGACACTTGGCAAAAGGACCATTCAAGTCAGTCAGGATCTGACATCTTGAAGTCGCATATTGCTGCTCCAGCTGATTTTCATTGCAGCCTTGGAAAAGCCCTGGATCTGGTTCCTCCTCAGACTCGTTTTCTGAGTTGACATCTCGTCTGTAAATGAAGCCATTATGAAATCATCAGTGTTCTGTGCACACCCAACATTCATGGTACTACTCTCTGAGTAACACTGCAAGCATACTTCTGCCTTGTGGTATAAATGTAAGCTTAGCTCTCTCTCATGATTGATTCTGAATGGGAAGGAGATAGATATAGCAAATCAAAGATGTGCTGGAACACTTCTTATCATCTTAGAGATTTATGGATATTTAAATTAAATGGGATATCTGTAGTTATCTCTTTGTAAATTCTGCATGGTACAGGTTTCACCCACTGCCTCCTTCATGCTCTCTATTCAACAAAGCTTGAATGTAAAGCCCTGTTTCTTGGACACTATGCTCACTTTCACTGAACAACTGCCTGCGTGCCTGAAATGCCAGAATTCTCCTGTGGGCCCAGCCTCCAGAGCCCCTTTATGCTCAACACTATCTCACATACCACTTTCTGCAATTTTGGCTGGCAAATTTTTGCAGCCAATATGTATCCTGACAGCTAATACAATTCCATTTACTTGCTGAAAATGCAAAGTGTTAGTGGCTAAGCAATGAGCAAAGGGCTTTCAAAGCAACTGGAAGGAAGGAAAGAAGGAAGGAAACTTCAAGGAAGCAAGGAAGGTAGGAAAACCTTTTTCAGTGTTGTATGGACCAATTAGCACAGAATTTTCCTAACCACAAATATACTCATGTATAGTCAAAAGAATGTTCTTACTTTTTGTGTACTGGTAAAAGAAACATAGATAGCCATGAAAGTAAGGAAATCAGACTCTTCAAGAATCTTTTTCTGGATGGATTTGTGAATTTATGTTGATGGATTTTGAAGCTACCTTCATATTTCAGAATAAAGACTAACATTGAATCAGCATTTGCACTCACTCAGGCCCATCCAGCACAACACGAATTTATCTTTGCCTGGAACCATGATCTTGGCAAAGATAATATTCATCCCTGTGCCCTAACATTTGTAATGGCTGTGATTCCAAAGAGGGATACTGAACTGGAATAATGCACTGACTGTTCAGGCCTCTTTTGACCAGACAGCAGGGCACTGATAACCCACCTTAGTGATGAGCAGGAAGAGTCACTACACACAAACAAAAGGAAGAAGAAAGATAAGACAGTGTAGTTATTCACTATAACACTGTAGTTATTCCTAGAGGTTAACTATGGCTGAATTCACTTATTTCTAGTGGGTATTAAATAGAAAATCAAGTACCTGAGTCGAGATCTTCTTTTCAGAGGAACTTTCCAGCTTTCACCAAATACATTCACATTCCTCACCCAAATACCATCTGGATTTTTGAAGTCATTTCTGTATCTCCCATCAAAGTCACCACACAAGCCTTCCACTCTGCTTCTGTAGGTGGTGGCCAGCTTTATGTCTAGGGAAAGTCAGAAGGAAAAAAGCTGTTAGACAGAAATTGTTGCCACTGAGTGTATGGAAGAGGTGGAAAACAATGCCAAGTTTTCTGTTCCAATGCCAAGGGCCACATGTCATGATTCAGATTGAAGCAGGTAATGACATGGGCTTAATATGCAGCACAGCCCTGAACATACCTGTTCATACATGTATCTAGAGCTTTTTGTGCTCTAGAACATGGATCATGATAACAATTTTTTTGCAAGTTTTTATGTAGCATGACATCACCACCTGGGTGCTCTTAGTGCTTATTGCTTTGCAATAAACTGCATGCATCACCTACTCTTTGCCCTTCACTTACAATTCACTTGATCACTGAGAAACAGAATTTCTATAGACAGACATTTTGTTTCTGCAGTTGGAATTTCAGGTCTCGGAATGATGGCCATGTAAATAAATAGCCTGGCACCTTCTTCATCCACTCAGAAATATTACAGCTATATGCTATTCTAAATCAGGTGTACCTCTGCTTTGAACAGGGGGGGTAATGTGTGTCCAGTTTACATGAAAGACTTGTGTATATGCTGTGTAAAAGTCCAGACAAACATTAAAGAATGGAACTGTATGGAGAAGGCTTGAGAGGAATCATGTAAAATGATACATCACAGGGTGTAGCTTGAGGATCTCAGTCCTGTGACTCCTGTGACTGGGTTAAGCTGGCAAAGGGGGAGATCCAGACTACACTCCATCAACCCAATCAGGAATTTTAAGTGATTTGCTTTTGGTTTTACCATTCAGGCCTTACTTAAAACAAGAAAAAAGTATAACAGTCTGACTCTACATCTCATTTCTCCTAAGTTCAGGGTAATACAGACAGAGAAATGTCAGTTTTATGGAGTTTTTTTCTGGTTCCCAGGAAACAATTTTTGTTGTAATTTTCTGGTGTTTCATATCACAAAGGAACATAAACACAAAGGGTGAAGATTTCAAATTTTGCCTTGGGTTTAGGCCTCCTGTGGAATGAGGACCTGTCTGGGACAGTGCATAAATATTTCCACACAGTTTTTTAGTATCACTTACCTGCATTTTGATTGCCATCAAAGCTCAGGTATAAGCCAAAATCTGTCTCCAGGTAAATTCTTGTTGTCCTCTGATATATACGAATACCTTCATGAGGTCGAACAGGGGGCCTAACTTTCACACCATCCAACTAACAAGGAAAGAAAAAATTAAAATTTATTATATATAGGCCAAATTAAAATCTGGTTTCAGTACAGATCCAACACTTATCATTTTTTTTTTAAATAATTATACCCAATAATTAACTAATAAAAACTATAGTATGTTTTTAATTTAACAAAATCATGTATTGAGGAAAGCGATCTGGCCACAGTGCTTTCATATCATCCTAAGAAATTTCTGTTATTGAGCCATAAATGTATACAGGAGCTATGTACTCTCTTACACACCAATGAAAAGGAAGGAAATTAAATTATCCCAGTATAAAACAAACCTTTCCCTGCTACTGATAAAAGTTTGTGTGGCTTTCTTGTAAGCCTTGGGACATTTGGTGCTTCATTCCTAAAACTCTATTTATTAATTTATTTGTTTGAAGTAGAATTGTGTCTTTCATAGCTATGAAGAAAAAGGACTCAACACAACTGAAAATCTCGTTTTTGGTTGCCTCACAGCACTGCTATAATAATTCAGGTCACTTTGATACTTTAATTCTTCAAAACAAATGTTCATTACTCAAAGGTCTTTTACTCCAAGGGAGAGCCTTTCTGTGTGCTCTGCAGTCAGGGAGAGACTTACCAGAACCTGCTTGTTCTGCCTGAATCTCACTGTGTGGTTGTAAACATTGATGAGCATCTCTTTCAGGTAAGTAATGTGTCGACTTCCACGTAAAGGATAGTTGGTGCCTTCAATGCTGAACTGTGTCAGAGTGTCAGGTAGGTCAGGGATGGTCTGAGCCAGAATATACGTGTATTTCCCTTGAAAGTGGTGCACCAGCCCATCAAAGGTGATGTAGTGTGGGTCACCCATGACCTGGCATCTTCCAAAAGCTGAAAGGGAAGAACTTCATTACTCTTCAGTCTAAATGTGTATGTGCCAGATCCCATGCCTGGATTGGTTCAAAATATTGGATAAAAATGATTGCAGCTAGCATGCAGGTCTGAAAGCAAAAGTGGGTGCTCAGGCTTCACTCTAGTGAATGGACACTCAAATGGAGAGATGGACAGAAAAGCTCATTCCCCTTCTAAGAACCACTGTGAGCCAAGCAGAATATTAGGGTATATAGAATTTATAGAGATTAAGTTGTGCACATTGGCCCTCTACAAAGGAATAACTGCCACACAACATGGCTTGCAGTGGGCTCTTAAGAGATTTTCTTTTCATAACCTCTGCCATTTCCAACATTGGAAAGCAGTGTTTAATTTTGGCTGAATCCATGCTGTCATTGATTTCCTCTGAGGGTAGTAAATTGATCCCTGAGTTCACCAGATGTAACAATCAGATGCAGTGACTATCATCTATGTATTCTCCTTTGACCCATGAGCACAGAGTAAACCATAATGCCAGGAGCAAGGCTATCCTTAAAACTGCTGGGGTGCCTCTGCTCAGATATTTTGCCAAAATGTAGCCAGGGGACGCTGGATTTTCCTTATGCTTTTGTAGTGATCCTCAACGCAGTAGGATTGGTGCCCTGCTATTCTTTGAAATTGAAGTGCAGGAATACTATGCTACAAGCTCTCTCCTAATCAACCCAATTTACCCAGAGAATATGGAATTAACTTTGCCTAGCCAAAATAAATACTGAATGAACGTACCAAAATCCTCTGATTGGCCTATTGTCTATCTGTTCAGATCTGCTCTGTCCTGGTTTTATTGATTGGTTTTTAGGGTTTTATTTTCTGTTCTCAAATAAACATGCAACAGCAAAAACAGGATCATTGTGATGGGCTGAGTTCTAGCTTTGGTAGATGCAGTGTAAGTTGTTTCACAAACTGAGTTCTAGTTTTGGTAGATGCAGTGAAAGTTGTTTTTTTTAAAAAAAATATTTAAACTAGTCAGGCTGAACTGTCAAATTTCTAGGTATAAGTGAATAATAACCAGGTATCCATTTCTCTCTACAAATTCCCCATATGGAATAGGAACCTTTTGTTATGAGAACTGAAGCCATTTTGTATTCAATGATGTGCTGTCAATGACAGAGTCAGAATTGCCTTCTTTCTCCATGAAAGAATGGAATTGCCATGAAAGAAAATATGGACACCCACATCCTCCCTCCTTTTGCAGCCCCAAAGTGAACCCCAACTGGGGACCTCCTTGCACATACCTGTTGGATTGCACTTGTGTTTTCCATCTTTGACCACGCAGGTTTCTCTAGAATCACAGCTATAGCTCTTACAACTGATGACACCGTTCTTCTGGCACTGGCATCTTTTGGTGCAGTGTGGAGTTATCCATGTCTCCCCAGCCTGGACACAAGTTGTGTTAATAATATCTTATCAAGGTGCTCAGCTTTGAAGTACAATAGGAGTTCAATAGCCAAAGGTGTGGACACTATCTAGGTGATCCTTGTTCAGTTGGCAATTCTACAACTGCTTGACTAAGTGTAGTCTCACCAAGAGCCTGGGAGACAGGATCTCAGCCCATTTATCTTTTATCATTTACTGTCTTCAGTGTGAGAATTTGAACACAAAACCTGACTAGGACAGACTGCCTGAATGACTCTGATCAATTGACTGTTTTCAAATAGGCTCCAGTTTTGGCCTCAGCTGCAAAGTACCAAGTAAAATCCTGCATCTCCCAATACCCAAGCCTGCAGCTTTTACTAATCAGGTGAAAGGTATTTAAGAGATAGACCCTGAAGTCTTCGATCTCTCTCTCTTCCTTGTTAAGATGGAGCGGAGACTAATTTTCCACAAGTTTTGAAGTCAGAGATTTGCTCCACAAAGTACTTACGCTGTAGTAATTGTTGTCATCATCCCTGCAGCCACAGCTGCTGAGAGGCACACAGTTGCCATTGCTGAGCACATAGTGATCGTCACATTCACAGCCCTCTGTGCACTCTTCTGTCTTCTCACAAAGGGAAGAGGCAAAAATGTCACTGCATGTTGATGGGCAGGCTGAGACACAGTCTGTGTAGTGGGTCCGGGATGGACAGGGCAATGCTTGTGGGAGAACAGAGCAACGTTATTAAATGCATTTACAAAGTGCACTGCAAAAACTGAAAGCTACACCTTGGCCTAGGGAATGGTAGTACAGAAGTGCCTTTTTTTTTTAATAGCTGATTTTCATCATCAGTTGGTTTTTATTTTTATATTTTATTAAAAAAACCCAGAACAACAAAAAGCAAAACAAAGAATGCTCTGTGGAACTGCTTATTCAGTTTATGTGTCCTAACACAGTGTCCCACATCTTTCAGCCTTCTGCTTATATTAATTCTCCATCTTAGGCTCACTGCAATATCTCACGGCACTCATTTGGCTACTAATACTGTTCTAACTCCACACTAATATCCATAGCTTGTCTAGTTTTGAATAATCTCTGGATTTATCTGAATGTGAACACAGTGAAGTGCAGCAATGGAATTATGATAGTAGAATTGCATTTTGTGAGAATTTGGATTTAATTTTCTTTTACATGACTTGTTCACCTAATTCTGCTAATTTTTTCATGCTATCTGTCATTCAGGTTTCAGTTTTTTCATTTGCTTGTGTACTTACGGCAGAATGTGCTATTTCTCCATTTAATGGTGATTCCATAATTCTTGCAGGTGTCCACATAGACTTGAACTATGTCGCAGAGAGCAGACTTCATACCATCATACTGGCACATATCATAGATGCAGATCTCTATGAAGTCGTCAGGGTTGACTAGACTATGGCATACTTTGAATTTGTCTGATTTTAGAACATTGCACTGTCTTTCAATGACTTGTTGATTCTCAGCAGTGCAAGGAGGATCATCATCTTCTCTTAAGTCTGGCAAACAACTGCAAGAAAGCACAGACACAGGCATCTAAGTTTCAGAGTCATATATAAGACAGAGATTGAAACTGGAAAGTTTATTTCCTCTGAAAAGTAGAAAAGGCTGGAGGTTATGACTTCCTTCTGTCAATGAATGAAAGACTGGGCAAAGTAGACTTGCCTGAAAACAAACATACTGTGTCTGACACTCATTACTCTCATTGAACTTGGCCCTGACTAGAAGATTGAGTTCACAGCTTGACCTTGGATGTGTCTCATGACTGCAAATTTCTGTGGTGACCTGGACTGAGCCAAGCTGATCTTGGCTTCCATCCATGGGTCTGCCCTGCTTGTCTCACTCAGGTAGAGGGGGATGGATGGACCCTGGCTGGTGATGCCACAGTTTTCTCAGCTGTGTTGTCACATATGGCACCCTGTGTGCTAGGGAGCAGCTGGCCCTCACCATTCCCCAGCACCATTATCCTGCTCTGGGTGTTACCAGTGTAAATTAAACAGAGTCCACACTGCCCCATAGACTCATTCCCCAAGTGTGTACAGAGATCCATAGAACAGCTGTGGTTTCCCTCTGAGCTGTGCAGTGTTTTCCTGTGGGGATGGCTTGTTATTGAGCTTCAAATTCAAGAAGAGGAAAGTCTCATGTATGATGTTTATATGTTACAAAATAGCAAACAGTCAAAACAATTGAAAACAATTCACTGTCTCCTGAAATAAGATGGGAGGTATGAAAATTATTTAGCAGTTACCCTTTATCACTGTCTGTCTCCACTTCCCAGCTGTTTCCAAACTCTGGGGCAGTGACAACTGTACCATTGGTCAAGGACAGATCATCTTCACGATTACCATTGAAATTGCCACACATGCCATGCACCTGCAGATGAAAAAGAACCAAATTCTAAGCATGACCTCTTATCATCAACTTCCCCAATATCTTCTTGTTTTTTGCCAATGAAATAATGTGACCAAATCACCACCAGCAACCAATCCTGTACCAGACATTTCAGAGATTTTGACTGCACCCATGGAGACACAAAGCAGAAATTGCAATAAATCTGTGATTCCCTAAGGCTTCATGCTGTTTATTTCTCTAAGTTAGAAGTATTCCCCTATACAGGTAATTTTCTTTAACTATCCCCTTGGAACACAAAGAAATTGTTGTGAAGAGAAAAAAATAGAAAGGAAAAAAATTACATGTTACAATACAGCTACAAAGAAAGATGCGATAACAAAACACAGGAAAAAAAAGTAAATACACAAAGCAGCGCTTTTGAAACAACTCCAGATGTTTGCATACTAAATCTTACCTGTGAGAAATAAGAGCGTGGGAGGGTGATTTCCAGATGGTGATTGCCATCATATTTCACTATCACACCAAAGTCAGTTTCCACTACTATAAATCTGCCAACATTTCCGATGGACATGCCTGGCAGTCGGTTCTGCACTGGAGTGTAGACTCTCTCATTGTTCAGCTGGAGAGATGAGAATTTGTTAGTATGGATATTCTTCCATGAAAGATCGCAATCTATATTTCTAGCAGTGCTGATGATTTCTCTGTGAGAGTTTTAGCTCTTTGTATTTCCACCATTGCATATTCCAACTATGCAATGTTGTAAATAAAAGTCTGTAATCAGACTTTTTGAGCTTCAAATTCAAGAATTTTGTAATCAGCCTTTCAGCTGAGGAGGGCTGGGCATGATTCATTTCCTGTGCTTTTAACAGGGAGCTGGAAAGATCCCTGGTAGTGAGCAAGCTCTTACTCACCCTTGGGGCAGATTCCTGGCTCCAGTACTGCCATGGCTCCCCATATTATTCTAGGCTGATACAGTGTGCCTTGCTCTCTATAGGTGATTAGGCTGATAAAAGCTGTTGAAATGGGGAGTCCATATTTTAATTCAGGGAACAATTTCCCAGTATGGAGGCCCAGGGTTTAATCTCCAAGATATGGACAACAAAACAGTGAACCCAAACCAGAAGTCTTGGGAACTAGTGAGAAATTGTATTTCCTCATGACACGCACTTAATGGAGGTGCCCACAAGTATTGAGCATATGCACACATGTTCCTTAGGAAATGTGAGACCCTTTTGCCTACAGGTATTCTAAGTGAGCTAATTTTAAGAAACTTCTTGCCAGAATAAAGAGCACCACCACCTACCAGGATTCCTTTGTTTTTCTGAAGGGTGATTCGTGTGCCATGCACATCTATGTAGACTTCTTTCAGGTATGTGGCCCCTCTTAGTCCTCTGTCTTCATTCTTGCCAAGTATGGTTATAGGAATGACATTGGTGGCAGTGCTGACAACCTCAACCAAAGTGTAGGTGCARGTTCCCACAAAAGTGTACTTCATTCCATCAAAAGTGAAATAATGGGGATCTCCTACCACTTGACATGTGGCTTGACCTGARGGTGAAAAAAATGGTCTAAGAATTTTGTACAGGATTTCACAATGGGCTCAGCTCACCAAAGCAATTTGCATTAGTGTAGCAGCCTCATCCTGATTATTATTATGTGGGCAAACCTTCACAGAGGCATCTTAGGCTCATGACAATGACATTTATTTGGAAATAGGAAGATTCTAGAAATCATCTCCTAAATTTAATTTACAAATTATATAACATATAATTATATATACAAAATGACAATTTGGCAGCAAATTAACTTCTGTTTGTATTTCTGTATGCTGTGGTAGCTATGATTCATGATAGGTGAGGGTAATACAGAGCTTTTCTACATACCTGTATAAAAATACATAATTAACTGTATAAATATAGATGTAAATATAAAAACAAATAAAATTTCATCTCTATACAACACAATGCAATTGTCATAACCCAGGCCCACAGAAATGCAATTCTCACAGAAATACAACCAAATTTAAAACTTGCTGCACTGGTTTGGGACTTGAATTTTCATTATCAACACAAATAGAATCCAAGCAACCTTGCAAACTTATGGGCAGTATCGGTTTTTGATGATACAAAAGAGGAGGGCATCTGTGCTTGCAAGACAGAAAATCATGCATTTTCATCTTAGCATTGGCAGCAGTCAGCTGGGACTTCTTTACTATCCCATATGAAAAAATATTTATAATAAATCTTGAAAAAGAAGAGGATCTAATTGTGGAATAGACATTTTAAGTAATTTTGAGTCAGAACTTACCATTGGAATGACAGCCCAGCACACCATCCTGAATACTGCATTCCTCTTGGACTCCACACTCCCAGGATTTGCACTCAATTGTGTTATTTGCCTTGCAGGTGCAGCGCTCAGTGCAGAGGTAATGGGTGAACCAACTTTCATTCAGCTATGTGGGAAAAAAGAGGGTAGAAGTATATATTATAAATAGGTAAGTAAAACCATAAGGGAAAATTGAATTATTAGTATTTGAATGTGCATGATATGTGATCATTTGGGCAATTGTAGGCACACAGCTCGTGAGCAAAGAAAGCTGGCAAAGTAAGTCTATTTTGAAATTATTAATGGTGTAAATATTAATTGTGTAGTGTTATGAACATGTTTTTTTCTCTCACAGTGATAAAGAACGAGATCCCTTGTTTTGTTTTTTTTTTTTCTCCTTTTTTTCTTTAAATGTCTGATGTAACTTGCCTGGTGATACTGGTTCTTTTCATCAACACAACCACAGTTGCTTTCTGGCACACATTTGTCTCCACTCAAAACATAGCCTTCCTTACAGAAGCAACCTTCCACTGGCAAAGAGCTGCAGGAATCAACTGCTGAGATGTTGAAACAGGTAGAGGGACACCTAGTACCACAGCTCTTGTAGATGCTGCCTCCAGGACAGGACATTGCTAGATAAAGAGAAAAAATAAGATCACTTAAAAGGGCAAAATCATAATAAAAGTTCTCCTGATGCTTTCACTGTTGCTCTTGAAAATATACAAAAAGGTTGTTAAAAAGTCTGACACAAGAGAGTGCTGAGTACAAAGGATTCTCTTGCTGTGGGAGATGGGTGGCTTTTACTAGAGGTGGGCAAGACACGTGGGCCACCCTTGTGCTTCACCTCCCAGTGAAGTCAAATGTTGCAGGCTCATGAGGATAGGTCTGATGAGATCACACATGACTAACTGTGCTTGGCTCTGCAAACCTTTTTCTGCTGATTTAAAGGCATAAAGTGACCCACTTAAGGGAACACAAGAATCTTTTGCCATACATCTCATACATCTCCATCACTGTAGTTACTATTTGAACATCTGCAATATATTCCAAAATACAACTAAAAATTACACTCTGTCTTTCACTGATACTCCGTGAGGGAAATATACTTTCACACCCCTCCTGTTGACGGCAGAATTGGATGTCTATTGCTCAAAACATGGTCCCCATGCTAACATTACATTTTACAGAAATCCTGAAGCATTTGCCCATTTCTGTCATCTAAAAACCACAGAAAAACATGGTTTTGACTGGATTCTTTTATAAATCACTACGTATGATTTTCATTTATTTCTGTCCCTACAACAGGATGTCTTATTCCTGTCAGTTACAGCCAACATCTCCAGTCATCTAGCCAGACTTTCTTCCCTCCGTCAGTTGAGTTTTTATTTGAATCACTGATGGAGACAGCATTTGAGAGTCAATCCTTCTAAAGTTACTGACTTTTCTCTATTACTATAATCAAGCTATAGATATTCAGGTTCTGGGTTACGGCTTCAGACTATGGAGTCTGAATGTCCAGCTTTAATCTGATTTGGGGAGTTAGAAGCTCATTTCTTGCTCTTCTTTTTATATATCAATTGTCTGTTCTCTGTCCTCCCAGGGCTGACTTACTGGGTGCCTTATCACAGTAATTCTTTTTCCAAACAGACCTGCTCCTAGAACGTATCTAATTTTTTATTGTTTAGTTTAAATGCAGAACTCATTGTTGATCACATCAAAAAAAAAGAAAAAAAAAATAGAAAAAAGGTGCAGATCTGAAGGAAGTAATCCAGTGGTAACTAGTATAACAAAAATTATTGTACGACAAAAAAAACATAGAGAACAATTATGGTTTATTTAAGTATGTCTGACCTGTAGAAGACTTCTTTTTTTCTCTCTCCTGTCTGTAGTTTGTGAACTTATATGTCCTTTAGAAAGTGCTGCCCACAGAAATTGTGAACGCCCCTTCCCTGGAATTACTCAAGATCAGGTTTTTTGAGGCTTTAAGCAAGCTGTTTTAATGGAAAGTGTCTCTATCCATGGCAGGGGGATTGGAACTAGGTGATATTTAAGGTTCTTTCAAATCCAAACCATTCTATGATTCTATGATTGTATGTCTGGCAAGCAGAAAGCTGTCCTGTGTTGCTTAAAATCAGCACCAGTGGAATCCCTGGAAAGATTTATTCTAAGARATATGAGTTCATTATATTAAATTTGCCATAAGGTCATTCTGGAGAGAATTAATTGAGAGGTAATTGATAGTTCTAGAGTTCTTTGCTTTAGAGAGAAATACAGCACTTTCTAGAAACAGCTGCTTTTCAAGGTCTCTTATTATGTTTTTTTTTAACCAAAAGCCATTGATAAGCATGTTTTATGGAGGATTACCAGCTCCACTTACTTTGGGGATGTTAGATTGTCATTGAAGCAAAGGAACTTATTTCTCCAATGCAGAAGCTCATATAAGACACAGTTGAATGTAACCAGAGTTTTCCAAGAAAGTAATAGTAAATTATAAATATTATAAAACTTCAGGGATTTACCCTGCATGTATCCTAACGTTCTTGAAAATTAGTGGTTTATACAAATCCTGGAATGTTTCTGAATCTGAAGCAGGCTCAAGACATTGTAAAAGATAGCCTATACTCAGAACATTATGTAAAATGTAATAACATGGAAAGGTAGAAGACGATGAAGTTAAAATCCAGAATAGATCTTTATATCACAATACTCACGACAAAGAGTAGCATTYCTCCACTCTATGCATATCCCAGCATTGACACACGACTCAGCATAGGCCTGCAGTCCATAGCATAAAGATGTTGCCTGTCCCTCAGTGAAACACATGTCGTAAACACAGTTTTCAAAGAAGTTTTGTGGAGGCACCTTAGCGTGACAGTCCTTGAAGATTCCTGAATAAAGCAAGAAARATAGATAGAAGGATATAGAAAAAAAAACACTGGTATGTTAAGACTGTGACCACCAGTATTTTCTGTCACAGCAAACACATTGGGAATGTTCCAGGCTGTGCTAAGTTAATGCAATACTTGAAATGGATACACAATGTACAATTGACAATGGGCTCTCTGGATCAGGTTTCCTTCTTTTTGCATGATTGATACAACATAGCTTACATAAATTAAGCATTCCTGCCTAGGCAAACCACTAATTCTAAACAAATACAGGGAACAGATACAGAATTTCAGATAAAGTATTTGTAATACACACACAGACAGTGCCCTCTGAACTATCTCTTTAAGCAAGCAGAGTGCAAGTCACTATAACACAGCAGCCATGGGTCCCTGTGTACATTCTCAGATAAAATTCATGGACACATTGGCACTGTCTGAACAGATGACAAATCCTGCCCAGTCA